TATTCAGCCTTGGTGCAGCCTCATCTCGAGCACTGTGTGTAGTTCTGACCCTGCAGGTTAAGAAGGATGTTAAGGTTCAGAGGAGGGCATGAAACCTGGCAAAAGGGATGGAAGGAAATTCCTAGGAGGACTGTGGGCTTGTCTAGTGTGGAGAAAAGGATGCTGAGGGGCAACCTCATTGCTCTCTACAGCCTCCTGAGAGGACAAAGTCGGGAGGGAGGTGCTGAGCTCTTCTCCCTGGTATCCAGTGATAGGAAACAAGGGAATGCTTCAAAGCTGCGCCAGGGGAGATTTAGACTGGACGTTAGGAAACGTTTCTGAGTGTGGCCAGACACTGGAATGGGCTTCCTAGAGAGGTGATTGAAGCCTTAAGCCTGTTAGTGTTGAAGAGGCATTTGAACAATGCCCTTAGTAACGTGCTTCAACTTTTGGTAGGCCCTGAAGAGGTCAGGCAGTTGGACTTGATCACTGTAGGTCTATTCCATCCTATTCCATTCCATTTGAGGCAGTGCTTGTACAGAGCAGGGTGGGAAAGAGGTGGTTTGGATTCTAGGATTCCTTCCCATCTTCGAAGACTAACTTAAACTTGCTTATGTTCTCTGAGGTACTGTGATAGAGAAGGGATCATTATGGGCTACTGCCCAAGAGGTTATTGCTGTGATTCACTGTGGAGCAAATACTTGGGATAAGCAGACTTAGACTTAGAGCCCCATAAATGACGGGAGACACATGCATAGTCCCACCTGTAATATGCAACAGCTCCATGTTTATAATGAAGACTCCAGTATGGTCTATTCCATGGTCTATTCCAGGCAGGCAAGCACAAGCTAAAGCTGCTTGTATTGAACCATGCCAGGAAGGATCCAAAAGGTACACTGTTATGGCATAAGAGTGCTGCATCTACATCAATATACCTCACCTCTTGAGAGGATTTTACAGACCAAGCACAGAACTGGTCTAAATGTGGCTTGATGCCTCCCAAGGTGCTGGCTTCCAGCTGGGGGCTTATGGCATCAGCATAAAAAGACTTGCATATATGTGTGTGTGAAACACCATCTCACACATCTGTACACACAAGGGTGAAAAATAGTTCAAACATAAAGAACTTGAGCTTGAAGGTATCTGTGGATGTTTTTCCAACGTGTGGAACAACGTATCATGTCCTAGCTAAGCTGACAGAGCTGTGCCAGGGTGTTTAAACCACCAAACAGGGCAAGCAAGACTTGTGGAGAAAGGAAGAAATCAAAAGAAGCAGATAAATGGTGACTGAATATTATGGTATAAACCCTGGAGGAGAGTGAACTGAATTTGTAGGGGAAAAAACCCACAGAAATGGGTAAGGAAAGCAATTAAAGTAATAAGGAGGTTACCTGAGGTTGGCAAATACATGTGTGGGAGCTGTACAAAAATGCAACTGAGAAGATCCACATATGGCAAAAGTTCTGGTAAGTGAAAGAAGAACCAACTCTGCTGCATACCCAAGCACACGGTTCCAATTAATAGTGAAAAATAGAGAGAATAAAGAGAAAAGCCACGGGAGAAGCCATCCAAAAATTAAATTAGATTTGGGATAATTGCAGAGGGCTTTTAAATCTATAAAAAAAGGCGCTTTGGCAGCGTGTGGAATGGAAACAAATGGTGGAATTTACATATCGCCGACCAACAGCCAAGCAGGCAGCTGAGGGAGTTTGGGCAGGAATTCACAGCTACCCTCCAAAAATCCAAGCAGCCAAGGCAGGGGTCACGGCTCTTCCAAGGGCAGCTATTCCTCAGGTCCAATCAGCTTCCACACATCCTCACTGCTCCAGAGAACTAGAGCCAGGCTGGGACTAGCTCCAAGAGCTGACCATTCCCACCTCGTCTGAGCTGGATGGCTTCTCTCCTCTGTCTAGAGGGTCAGAACTGCTTGGAGATGGTCTGGGATTTGTAATTCCAAGTGTGAATGCTTCTCAGACAGTTACAAATAAATCCCTCAGGTCCAAGCTCTTCTGCCTCTCTCCGTGGAGAATTCCTGATCAGGGAAGGGTATCAGATAAGTCACCTTTATTCACTCAGCTTCCTTAATGAATGTCCTGAATGTTCCTGGCAGTTTTTCTTCACAATCGAATAATAGATGGATCTATTAATGATAAACGTTATTAAAACCTCCCTTTGTAGTGGCAAGTTCCCTATTTCAAGCAAAACCCAGGTATTTTCCCATTTCTTAGTAGACATCTGTGGTGGGGTGACCCAGGCTGGACGCCAGGTGCCCATCAAAGATGCTCTATCACTCCCCTTCAACTGGAGAGTGAAGAGAAGGACAGGGGGGATCATTCAGCAATTACCATCTTGGGCAAACAGAGTTGACTTGGTGAGATTGGTTCAATTTTATTACCTACCAAAATCAGAGCAGGAGAATGAGAAATAAAAACCAAACCTTAAAACACACCCCTGCCCCCAACGCTCCCTTCTTCACAGGCTTAACTTCACTCCCAAATTCTCCATCTCCTCCTACCTGAGCGACACAGGGGAATTGGGGTTGCCATCAGTTCTCATCACACATTGTCTCTGAGGCTCCTTCCTCCTCAGAGGAAGGCTCCTCACACTCCTCCCCCTCCTTCAAGCATCCACTTGCTCCAGGTGGTATGTAGGGTCCACCACGGGCTGCCGGTGGGTATCTGCTCCCTTGTTAACCTCCATGGCTGCAGGGCAATCTCTGCTCTGGCTCCTGTAGCACCTCCTGTCTCCTTCTCCACTGGCCTTGGTGTCTGCAGGGCCGTTTCTCACATATTCCCACTCCTCTCTCCAGCTGTTTGCTTTTCCTGCTTTCTTAAATACATGATCCCAGAGGCATTACCACCATTGCTGGTGGAGTGTCAGGTCCCGCTGGCATGGACTCCATCAGATACCGGGGAAGCTTCCAGCAGCTTCTCATAGAAGCCACCCCTTGTAGCTCCACCACTCCCCAAACCTTCCTTACAAACCCAATACAGCACCTCTCATTGCTCTTCTTCTCATTATGGTTAAAACATTCCTATCTAAGGAGATGGCCAGAAAGACTGTCAAGAATTGGCCTTGGTGTTTCCTACGTTCTTCTAATTGCTTCAGTCTCGTTCAACTGAAGGTGTGAGGAAGCCGCTCACCTGATTTCTTTAGCTGAGAAGCTCCCCATGGTCACCACACAAAAGTATTCAGCATAAAGACAAGTTTTTGTTTGGGGGAATTCATTTTCATCTTCCCTGCAAGCAGGACCTCTCTGCTTTTTAATGCCTCTCCTACTACTTGGTTCTTTTTTGCTTTTGTACTTGGAGTTAGGCTTGATCAATTATTAACCTCAACTTTTTAGTTCTGTGTTTTTCAAGTCTTTAGGTCTGTTCTTGCCTCTTGCTAAACTTTTTCCTTCATTCAGTTTATTTGCTTTTGGATGGTGTCAGTTCTTCGGTTTTCAGAAGATCTCATTGAAAATGCAGTTATTGGCTGTTGCTGCTTCTTTCTCTTTCTGCTCACATCAATCCTCTCTCTCCAAAGAGAATAGAACCACAAAAGCTCTGAGGTCAAGTAGGCTTTGAACAAGTGGGCAAAAATAAAGTAGTTTACTGTTCTTTGGAACTTTTTGCATGCAGAAAGAAGGGACCTTCAGCACAAGAGGAGGGGAGTGATTTTCATGTGCCATAAACCACTATAAGCAGTCCAAAGAACTGAGAGAGGCCTATAGAAGTGGCAAACTGCTTAACTGAAACAGGAAGATGACTCATTGTTTCTCCTTGGCCAGGTTTGCAGTTTGGAATACTGCAGGTGGTGGTAAACTGCAAAATTCCCTCGGGAATGATGTGTTATTTTGAGCCACTGCTCACATTGTATTTTATCTTTGGCATTGTTCTTGCAAGAATTCTTACAGGTCTGATCATACAGTGATCATACAGTGATTTCATGCACTGCTTTATGAAAGGCCCTACATGCGGATCCTGAGTTTCTTAGTTTTCCTGTTCATAGAATCCCAGACTGGTTTGGGTTGGAAGGGACCTTAAAGCTCATCCATTTTCAGCACCTGGCACGGGAAGGGACACCTCGCCCTAGAGAAGGTTGCTACAAGCCCCTGTGTCCAACCTGGCCTTGAACACTGCCAGGGATGGGGCAGCCACAGCTTCTCTGGGCACCCTGTGCCAGCGCCTCAGCACCCTCACAGGGAAGAGTTTCCTAATATCGAAGCTAAATCTACCCTCTTTCAGTTTTAAACCATCACCCCTTGTCTGATCCCTCCATGCACTTGTAGCAAGTCCCTCTCCAGCTTCCCTGTAGGCCCCCTTCAGACACTGGAAGCCGCTATAAGGTGTTCCTGGAGCCTTCTCTTCTCCAGGCTATTCAGACATGAAGTTTAAGTAAGGTCTAAAGGGAACATCTAGAATAATTAGCTTATGATGTTTCATTTTGTTGACATTTATTGGCTATCTATGGGAAGGGAAAACCTCCAATGTATGGATTATGCAGTGGATGGGGTCACAGGTTTTATTTTCACCTTGTCATTTACTCATTGCAGACAGTGGATCAGCTCCTTAGACAAACATTCTCCAGCTTTAAAAGTTCTGTCTGAAAACCTATGACACAGCTTTCGTACGTACTGAACACAGCCCTTTTCCATTGATCTTACATGAGAGATGGAGCTATTTAGCACATAGCAAGTAATCAGACGGTATCATGCAAACCGGAGCTCATGCTGTAGCATCACAGCTGAAAGAAACTGTTAACAGTTGAGGCATTCCCTTGTTCTACAATTACTGTTCCACTGCCTGAACATCTTCATTTTGAAAAATGACACTAGGGAAATACCTATACGTGTACATCACAAACCATTTCCCATCGATTTTGGTTAAAAGCTCGGAAGTCTGCATAAATAGGAGTCTTTGATGCCCTCTAACAAGCTTGAAAGCAATAATAACCAACTCAAACTGCTAGAAATGACTGTGCGTGTCAACTGCCTGATGGCTGATGATTTCTTACGTGTAAGCAGGTATTTTTGTTACCTTGATAGCTGGGATGGGCTTCTTAGGAATGAAATGCTTTTTCTGGGCAAGCACAGCAGCCACGCTCTGTTCCTTCAGCTTAAGCTTGTTCTCAGCTATTATCTTTCGGCGTTGTTGCAGGTAAGGCCCAAAATTGGGCAGTTTCTGGAACAAAAATCAGGAGACATGATTACCTTTAGTGAGGCAGGGATAGCAAAAAGGTGAGTCCGATCCCAAGAGCAAGATCCTCAGTCCTTGCTGAGCTCCTTATTCAGGAAGTTGAAACTGAAATCCGCGAGACTGAAGTGAATAAAAATCAGGTATGAACCTCAGGTTCTGGCTTGAAAAATAGATACTGAATATTAAAATATTAATACACCACAGCAGAAAAAGAGCTGAATTGCAGGTCAGCTTCCAACAGTCTGATATTTCCCCACTGCATTCTGGCTTATATATAAAAATGTATCGTGTTAAATAATTCAAATGTGCAACTTTACTTCTATAGTACGTGGAAAAGTTATCCTAAAACTATCAGTTTATTTGGAAGGGTTCCACCAGTGTTTATGGACTATTTGTAGGGATATCTAAATATATCTAGATATATTTTTAAAGCTGACAAACATGTATTTTGCATTCTGACAAGGGACAGCTGTCTTGACCTGTCAAAGTGAGGCGACCACACGCCAAATGAACTGCAACACATTCTCATCTTCTCATTTACCTCCGTGTCCCACTTGCATTCTTTTCTGCAACATTTAATCCTAGAACCCAATTAAGCAACCTCTGGAGGAGGATTTCACTGACTTATAAAACTCATTTCTCACCCAAGAACATGATTGCACAGAACACCCATCTTCCTGAAAGAAAAAGCCCCTTTACTTACCTAGCAGACGCGGACAACTGCAGTGTGCCACAATCACACATTTAGGTGAATGGAAAAGGGTAGAAAACATGGATTTTCTCCTGATGCAAAAGACCATGCCCTTTCTCCCCTGAAACTCGTTTCTTATTCTGCAAAAGTGTTTTATCCACCGAACTAAACCCAGAAGCTACTGCAGTACTCCAGAAACTAGCAGGTAGTAACAGGGGATACATAGCCTCGGCGGTTGCTAGCATTAGTTCGCGCTAATAATACAACCTCAAAGAGCATATCGAACAAGATCCAGGGCTGCTGTGGCTATCAATTTTTGAAGAGGGAATTTCAATGTGAATTTTAAATCCAGAATTATTTAAAAATTTAGAAATGATTATTTTTTAAAATGAAGTCAATGCAGAAGATGTTATCCTGCACTCCTGCTAATCCTTAGGAGAAAAGTCCTTCAATGAACTCTGTCAGTCACAATACCCAACCCTGGGACCTCAGGCTTCTTGTTATAACAAATAAAAGCTTTCTTGGCTGCTAGGGTTTTGGGTCTCTGAGCACACAGGCAGAGGGTGAGGTCCTTGGAATGCTTCCCTGCTCCCATGTGCGGCCTCCACACATCTTGAACTTCAAGCCAGAACAAGACCGGGGGTCTCGTGGTGCTCTCCAGAGAAGGTACCCTCCTGCAGGCTGGGACTGAGCCATACTCTGGGACAAAGCGTCAACCTAGACAAAACACAAGACCATGGGGGATGTTGCAGTCTCCACCTGTCCCAACTCTAGATGTAGCCCAAGTCTGCCCACTGGCAACGGGCTCCTGTTCTGTCTGTTCAATGGGAACTTTGTTCCTGAATGTCATGTTCAAGGGCATCCTACGAGACATCACACAAACTCTTCCTTCAGTGCAGTTGCCGCACATGAACTTGGAGAGGAAATTTTCTGGGATGCCTTAAAATAAGTCTTACAATATTACTGCAAAGAGCAGCAAGGTAGTGGCCTTACATACCAAAGCCAAGGAAGAATGCAACCCCAGAATGATTTCCAACAGGAAAGAGTAGAAGAATTTGCCTAATTTCAATCTAATCAATAGGTCCTAAAGCAGACACATAAAGACTCAATTCTTTACATGACTTTTAGAAAGCCAGAGACTTTTAGCAAAGATCTACACAACACAGACTTTTATTTAAGTGCTTGTATATGTCTGCTTGGCTGCATCAACTAGAAACACATTCTGGCCATGAGTAAGTAGTACCTGTGTCACTGAGAAACTATTTTCTCTCCATAATTTATGTGCTGATGCCAACAACTTTGGGCTTGAGAGGGCAGGAAACCTGATGACAAAGCATTTTTGGACTCTTCCCTGTCTGGCCAGGAATTGAATTGCTGACTTTCAGAGGAGGCAGCAAAGCTAATTCTGCTGAGGTTTTAACTGGAGGAGGAGAGGAGACAGTTGTTCATGGCTTGACTGATCGAAGATCATCTTGGGGATGAATAGCTAAGTCTTTGCAGAATAAATCCTTTACTTTTCTGTTCTCTTCATGTGTGACCAATGCCCTAATTTCTGTAGACAGAAATACTGAGTATAGTGAAATTAAAGAGGTGACCCAAGGAGAAGTGTGGAAAAAGAATTTGTTTTTGTGTACAGGGGAGGAGCCAACTACAAAGGCGACTCATATTCTGTCTATTGTGAAGTTGGAAGTGTTTAGGTTTTTACATCTGACATAGGTGGAATGTACAACAGACAACTTGAAAGCGTGCAATGCCACCAGTACCACAGTTCAGATGCTTCATAATGACATGCACTCAGTTATGTTAAATTGTATATTCTCTATCTTTTAAAGAGAAATGAAATGATGATTAATCTAGTAGTAACCTAACATCCACCTTCGGTCTTTTCTGTTTCTGCATTGCTGTTTTTCCATCAAGAAATTGATTAAATGGAATTTAAAATAATTAAGGGAACATGTAGGTCTGGTTATTTTGTGTTTGAAGTCTGGTAGTTCACAAGCAGCCAAGCCAGATTTCATCAAACAGCACTGAAAACAAACAATCTTTTCTATAGCAATAAATAATACATTAAAATGTAGCCTCAAGAGCTTACGAAGGACTTATTGATGGTTCCCCTTACGCTGATGAGACTGCTTATTGTTCAGAGCTGTGGTTTCAAGCATTTTGAAGGCAGAGGCCATATGAAATAGCAAACAATATTTTAATGAACTGAGTTCCTGGATACAGCAAAAGCCAAAACATGTTGAAATAACTGCTGACGAGATGGATATTTAAGAGAGCTTAAAGTTAAATCACCTTTAATCATTGTAGGGGCTATCTTCCTAAGCACGTGGAGGGTTTAACAGCACCGTTTCCAGTAAAGCACAAGCACAGAACTTGGTGAGTTTGACTCTGCTTTGGAAAGCCTCCTACAGCACAGTTTGTTTGGGTTTCTCTAATTTCCACATATTCCAACTTCACTAAACTCTCCATACACTGATATCTTTGTTATATCAACATCTGCCTAGAAAAGAACAATTTATATGAATAAGTGTGAATAGAAACTGCTTAGAAGACTGCAACAAGCAGAGTAATTAGATAATTCTTGTGTACTTATAGATCTGTATCAGTGATATCTATAGCTGCATTATTTGTATCCATCTGTCTCTATATAGCCATAATTCAGTGTGTTTCTATTGGAGGGATAGCATCAAGAACGGAGCCAAAATAAATACATTAAGTGGTATTCTTTACGTTTTTATAATTACATTATCACAGAACTGGAAGCTTGAAATGCTGGAGTATTTTACAGACAGAAAGTTAAAATCCAAATCCTCTCGCTGCCAAGACTTCCCAAAGCCGCCTTTTAACTGATGAACTGTATAAATCTCCAGCAACATTGTGATTTTTGTTTCAGTAGTTTCTCCAGGGATTCATCATTGAAGAGTTTGTTCTTACCAGAAAAGCTAAATCCTACTCATTTAAAGATAACAGTATCTTCCACTAAAACTGTCTCTATCCAGATATATAAAAGCATTACCCTGCCAATAGAGAACTGACAACATAATGAATCAACAATGAAACCTTAAGCTTGGAGAGCTTTAAGGTAAGTCTGGCTTGATTATAATTTATTCATGGATCAATCTAAAGGTAATTGAGCATATTATGAACTAAATAAGGTGCTCGTTTCCTAAGGGTAAAAAGTAAAGAGAATCCTCCACTTCACACTGCTGCAATTTTGATGGGTGCACTAGCAAGTAGCTGGAGTGGTGGAGCAGGCTAGTGAAGAGGGCAGTGCAATCTGCGTCAGATGCCCCAGACTTGAAGGTCCCTTCCAACCTCAGCTCTTCTATGATTCTATGACTTTATTTCTAACATCGAAACTGATCTCTGTACATATGTCTCCATGGTGTCATCATGGGTTGCTTATTTGCGAGCAGTCTTCCTGTCTTCTGCTAAGGGGCTGGATACCAGCTGCTGTTAGAAGCCCCAGCTTTCAGCTGACACAGGTATTGGGTTTGTGTGGCAAGCTTTTGGAAGCAGGAAGGTGAATGGGAAGCAGGGATGGCTTCTGTGAGAACAGATATCCCCCTGCAGCCCATGGAGGTCCATGTGGAGCAGATATCCCCCTGCAGCCCATGGAGGACCCCACATTGGAGCTGGTGGGTGCCCTAAGGAGACTGTGACCCCGTGTGAAGTATGCACTGGCAGGACTTGTGGCCCCGTGGAAAGAGGAGCCCATGATTCATTCTCTACATCCCTCTTGTGCACACTCAACATGGAAACAATTTTAAGTGACACTGTGATGTCCCTCATGAATCTGGGAATGGAGCTGAAGCCAACTTGTCTTATTTCGTGCACTTCACATTTGTCAAGTGTAGATGTTTCTGCTTGCACATAGCAAAACCAGGTAAGAAGAAGAATGAAGACTGAGAAATGTCTGACAAACCAAACTGCTAAAAGAGTACAAATTGCTCTACTGAAATATTCTATACCAGCTGCAGTAGAGATGCAGCAAACTAAGGCCCCCATACTCTGTACCTATGTCCAAACTTTGCCATGTAATATGTTTTAGAAATCAAATGAGAATTGGCTCTTCACTGTCTGTTTTCTGAACAGATCTTTTTCTGAAATCACTTAAGGAACTGCTTTCTCCCAGTGAAGGAGAGAAGAAATGAGGAGAAAATACAAATTCCCTAAAGGATTGGAACTGGCAAAGGTGGTCAACTGCCTTCACAGAGTCACAGATAGTTGAGATTATCCAGTCCAGCCCCCTGGTCAGAGCAAGGTGAGCTGCAGCAGGTTTCACCTGTTT